GATAACAGTTGTATGAGCCCCTAATAAAATGTTTTAAAAAAGGGGGGGCTATTTTGGAAACCCTACAGAGCAGTTCTACTCTGCCCTAGCGGGTCACTGGGAGCTGCTGGCAGTGGGTATGTGAATATGCAGGAGTGTCCTAACAAGGAGGAATTTTCATCATAAGTTTAAACAAACTTCCCAACAACATCACTCCCGCGTTGTTGTGTGGTCAACATGCTCAAGTGGGTAGGCACTCGTTTCAGTGTAAGCACAGGCTTAGAAACGCCCCGGGGCTTTGATTCCCACGATGACCCACTTTCCACGTACACCAAATGGTTTTGTTTGGAATAGTTGGATATTTTATGCCATTCTGTTTTCTCTTTGGGATTTATATTTCCATTCTCTACAACCCTGGGAATGTCTCTGTGGATCCTGGAAATTCCAGGGCTCCAATGGGGTGGGTCCATGACCGCTTCTGCCCTCTTCTCCTCCTATTTCCCCGCTTGGCTGTGTTGGTCTCACACTGCTATCGAGTTGATGCCAACTCATAGTGACCCCTGGGTTTCTGAGATGGTACCTCTCTATGGGAGTAGAAAGCCCCGTCTTTCTCCTGCAGAGCGGCTGGTGGTTTTGAACAACTGGCCTTGCAGTCAGCAGCCCAACGGAGCACCCCTCCACCATCAGGGCTCACTGGGTTGGGTCTATTGGGTAAATTTCCAGGAAGACCCTGAACTAGCTGAGTGTCTTCTCAGCCCCAGGTGCCATTACAATTGCGATTCTTCTCACCACCCTTTGCTAACTCCCAAAGTAGGGCCTGAACCAGTATCCTAACACTGAAGGAGAACAGTATTTCCACATATACAGTAATGAACTTCTCTGTGTGAGCTGAGCGTGTTTGTCACAAAAGATTCCAAATCTATTTCACTTTTACTTTTTACTTTTCCTCCTTACATTTTTTTTTTTTTAGCCACTCAGACCACCATTTAGGTTTGAGGGATAGGAATCTGGAGGAATTTCCTTTTCTTTTGTTTTTTAAAGAAACACGCTGTATAGATTTACCTAGCCCATCTCAAGAAATGAAATCAACAACAATATCCCCTTAGCCCTTCCATATATGGGGTACTCTTTCTTGCTGATGGAGAGCTTCCCACGGTGTGGGAAGTACTTCATATGCATCATCCTCGCCACCGAGTGCAACCTCGTCTCATAGTATTCATAGTCGAGCACTCGGCTGTAAACCCAAAGGTTGGTGGTTCAACGCCACCCCATGGTGCCACGGGAGAAAGACCTGGTGATCTGCCTCCGTCAAGATGAGGGCCTAGCAACCCCCACGGGGACGGTGCGACTCTGTCACGTGACTGCATTCTAAGTCGGAACCAATTCTGAAGCACCCAACCACACCTCTTTTACAGATAAGGGGAACGGTCTTCTCAGACTAAAGTGCCAGACGCCCCCACTCATAAAATTATGTAGGAGCAGAAACTTGAGAATGCGGGCAAGATTGTTTCCCAGATGTCACCGCCATCCTCCATTCTCTGGAAGCCACCGTTGGAGACGCTAAGTGATCTCTAAGACATCCCCATTGTATTCAGTGACTAGTTGAGGGGATAATAAACAGAAACCAGCTACTTGGGCAACTGACTGGAAGAGATCTACATTTGTATCCATTCCAAAGAAGGCAGCCCAACAGAACGTTCAAATCATTGAGCAACACCACTGATGTCACACGCAGCTGAAGCTTTTCTGAAGGCCAGGCAAGGACAGCGGCTGCAGCACACTGACAGGGAGCCGCCGGTGGCTCAGGCCAGATTCAGAAGGGGACATGAACCAGGGACAGCCTTGTCGAAGTTAGATGGATCGTGGCTGGAATCAGAGAATAGCAGAACGATGTTTATTTGTGTTTCATTGACTGTGCCAAGGCACTTGACTGCGTGCGCCGCAATACGACACCGTGGATGACCTTGAGAAGGGTGGGACTTCTGCGACACTTCACTGTGCTCCCGAGGAGCTTGTACCTGGCTCCAGAGGCCCTTGCGTGAACAGAACGGGAGGATACCTCGTAGTTTAACATCTGGAAAGGTGGGCACCAGGGTTGCAGCCTCTCACCGTACATATTCAACCTGCATGCTGAACAAATCCTCAGAGAAGCTGGGTTACATGGAAAAGGAGGTGGCATCAGGCTTGGAGGGTGGCTTGCTGATGAAGCAACACTGCTGGTTGAAAGGGAGGAGGACTTGAAGTGCTTGCT